TCTTTTGTGGAGTGAAGACCCTGGGCTTTGCGGCTGCCCGTTCTCCAGGATTCTCAGCAGATGAGGACCTGCCGCCGGCCCCTGCTGCCTTGTGGAGAGGGGCCAGGCATGCTGGCGAAGGGGCTGGGCTCCAGTAGTGTGCTCCACATATGCTGCGCCTCCAAAGACCACTGTCTTCTCCTTGTCGAGGAGAATCCGGAGGGGCCGCCAGACATGCTTGTTTTGTTTTGTTTTTTTAAGAGACAGGGCCTCCCTCTGTTGCTCAGGCTGAGTGCTGACTACAGCCTCTCCCTCCCAGACACAAGCGACCTGCCTACCTCTCAGCCTTCGATGTAGCTAGGACTACAGGTGTGCACCACAACACCCAGCTTTTTTTTTTTTTTTTTTTTTTTTGGAGACACGGTCTCGCTCTGTCTCCAGGCTGGCGTGCAGTGGCGCAATCTCAGCTCACCGCAACCTCCACATCCCGGGTTCAAGCGATTCTTCTGCCTCAGCTTCCTGAGTAGCTGGGACTACAGGCATGCACCACCACGCTGGGCTAATTTTTTTATTTTTAGTAGAGACAGAGTTTCACCATATTGACCAGGCTGGTCTCAAACTCCTGACCTTGTGATCTGCCATCCTCAGCCTCCCAAAGTGCTAGGATTACACGCGTGAGCCACCGTGCCTGGCCTAATTTTTAAATTTTTTGTAGAGATGAGGTCTCGCCATGTTGCCCATGCTGGTCTCAAATGCCTGGCCTCAAGTGATCCTCCTACCTTGGTCCCCCAAAGTGCTGAAATCAGAGGCATGAGCCACTGTGTCCAGCCTAGATGCCTTTGTTGAGCTGACTGTCAACGTTTCATTTGAGTCTGGAGTATGTTCATCAGTTTTCCGTGTGTGTGGTGTGAAGTCCACCCTGCTGCCTTGCTCCGCCCACTGACCATCTGTAGCGCAGCCCCGGCCACATGCAATTCCTGTGGCTGCTCCCTGTGGTGCTCACCTCCACCGTCCTAAACAACACGTTACCCGTTTTCAGTATCATCTGCCCGTCCTGAGCCATTTGCTCTCTAGCCGTGCCGTACAGCTGCCATCCTGGGAATTCCGAGTGCTTCCCCTGGGTTTGAGTCCTTATTTTTTGGGTCCCACGTTTTCTTCTTTTTGCCAACTCGTTTTCTGAGGACGTCACTGATAGCTGCCTGGAAAAGGGAGCACAGGAGCCAGATGCTCTGAGAACTGCTTGTGTGGAAGTGCTTAGTCCTCCCACCCCTGCTCCAGTCCATAGCGTGGCTGGGCATAAAATTCTAGGTCAGAAATCGAATTCCCTGAGAATTTGAAGACCTCTGACCCCGTGCTGTGACTGAGGACCCGCTGTTGCCCAGGGCCTTGCTGTTCTCCGTAACTTCTGTTTCCCACCCTACATACTTGGATGAGGATCTTGTATTATTTGCCGTGCTATGCACCTGGTTTTCAGCCTTTATTTCGTTGTTTTGTTTTTTGAGACAGAGCCTTGCTGTATCGCCCAGGCTGGAGTGCAATGGCGCAATCTCTGCTTACTGCAGCCTCTGCCTCCCGGGTTCAAGCAATTCTGCTTCAGCCTCCCAAGTAGCTGGGATTACAGGCATGCACCACTGCGCCTGGCTAATTTTTGTATTTTTAGTAGTTTGGGGTTTCACCATATTGGTCAGGATGGTCTCGAACTCCTGATCTCAGGTGATCTGCCCACCTTGGCCTCCCAGAGTGCTGGGATTACAGATGTGAGCCCAACATCTTGATCAGATGTTTAGATTGTCCTTCCCACATTTTCAGTTCCCGGGAGCGGTTCCTTGTTGTCTGTCTCTTCTGCAGCGGGCTGCCCTGACCCTGCAGCTGTGGCTCTTGGCTCGTGGAGAGCACTGGTTCAGGGACTTTTCCTCACTGTCTCCTGCATCATGTGTCTCCCTGGGGTCCTTGCTTGGGGTTTGCTTTGGCCAGTTCCTGTTGAAAGCTTGCCTGTTGTGTCTGGTGATCTTTGGCCATCTGTCCACTCCTGCGTGTGAGGCACCACAAGGATAAGAGGCTCTGTGCGAGGCAGGGCTTGAGGGCATGGGCTGTGCTGTGTCAGTGGGCAGGGCCTGTGCCCTTCTCTTTGGGATAGTCCAGTCCTGTCTCCTGCAGGTGGTTGTGAAGATCTAGGGAAGGCCAGGGTCTCCCCGCCCCGTGGGAATGTCGTCTTTTCCCTGTGGTCTAGCTGACACCTGCCCTGCCTCTGCTCTGAGGTGACCTGGATGGGACTGGTCTCTATACCCACTTCCCCAGCCTGGAGGGGACTGGGAGCAGAGTGGGCCCCCCTCCACTTGTGGCCCCTCACAGCCTCTGGGGCCCAGATGTGCCCAGCAGCCAGAGCTAGACTCGTCCTGGCTCCCATGTGGACCTGGCAACTCAGGAAGCCTCGTGAGCACCTTTGGGAGATGTGCCATGAACCAACTATACTGCAGCTGAAGGCAGACACCGCCCGCACACTCAGTTCCCCGGTGTTCAGCTGCCACGGGCCATGTGCTTCATCAGACACTCACTTCCTGGAAATGCTGTGGCCCTTGGACCCTGGTACCTTCACGCTCCTTCCCGAGGCTCCGAGGCTCCGAGGCTCCGTGCCTCTGGGCCCTGAACTCATTGTGTGTAGTGGCCGCAGGTGGAGCAGCTGCATGAACAGAGTGCACCAGGGGCGGTCACCTGGCGGGCTCGGGCCCTCGGGGTGCTGCAGTCCACACAGCACAAGCGGGCAGTGCCTGTGGGTATCACCTGGGCCGGGGTGCAGTGGACACTGCTCTGGTCACCGCCAGGTGCCTTTAGTGTGGGAGGCGAGGCTATCTGGGGGTGTGTGCGCTGCTTCGGAACTGCCTTGACCAGAGCTCGGGGATGCCCTTCTCGGCCCTCCTCCCAGGTGGCGGCAGGTTCTCTGGAGGTCCTGAGGCAGCTTCTGGGCATGGGTGGAGCCACTGCACACCCTGCCTGGAGACAGCTCAGCTCCTCCTTTTGCCTTTCAAGAGCAAATGCCCTGGAGGAGCAGCTGAAGGAGCAGGAGCTGAGAGCCTGCGAGATGGTCCTGGAAGAGACCCGGCGGCAGAAGGAGCTCCTGTGCAAGATGGAGAGGGAGAAGAGCATCGAGATCGAGAACCTGCAGGCCAGGTAGGAGAAGTTTCTTGACAGCCTACCCACCCTAGAAAGCTGCAGGCCAGGTAGGAGAGGTTCCCCGACAGCCTGCCCACCCCAGAACGCTGTAGTGGCTAGGAATAACCTGAATTTTAGAAAAAGGGGAAAAGCTATGTGGTGAAGACCTTAAAAACTCCCCAAAAAGCCACAAGGAATCAGTTCAAAGACTGACCCTGTGTGGGTACTGGTTTCTCTAAATCTACGTCTACAATATATCCAGTCTGTTTAAAACACTAATTTTTTTTGTTGTTGTTTTTTTGTTTTTTGGGGTTGTTTTTTTGAGACAGAGTCTTGCTCTGTCCCCCAGGCTGGAGTGCAGTGGCGCGATTACAGCCCACTGCAAGCTCTGCCTCCCGGGTTCACATCATTCTCCTGCCTCAGCCTCTCAAGTAGCTGGGACTACAGGTGCCTGCCACCACACCCAGCTAATTTTTTTGCATAAAATACCAATCTTTTTTTAAGGGAACTTGACAAAATTACTTTTACATTCATCTGGAGACATAGCCTTGGATGAGTCAGAAAAAGTGGTAAAACAAAAAGGAAGAAGATTAACGATACTATATTAAAATATATCATAAAGGAGGCAGGGCACAGCGGCTCATGCCTGTAATCCCAGCACTTTGGGAGGCCGAGGTGGGTGGATCACTTGAGGTCAGGAGTGCAAGACCAGCCTGGCCAACAAGGTAAAACCCTGTCTCTACTAAACAAACAAAAAAAAAAGTCAGGCATGGTGGCACGGGCCTGTAATCTCAGCTACTTGGGAGGCCGAGGCATGAGAATCACTTAAACCCAGAGGCAGAGGTTGCAGTGAGCTGAGATTGTGCCACTGAACTCTAACCTGGATGACAGAGTGAGACTCCATCTCCAAAAACAATTTAATTAAAAAAAAAAAAAAAATATATATATATATATATATAAAATAAAGGGAAAAATTATTTTTAATTTTTTAACTTATTTTTTAATTTTTGGTTTTTTTGATGGAGTCTTGCTCTGTCACCCAGGCTGGAGTGCAGTGGTGCAATCTCGACTCACTGCAAGCTCCGCCTCCCAGGTTCACGTCATTCTTCTGTCTCAGGCTCCCAAGTAGCTGGGACTACAGGCGCCCACCATCACACCTGCCTAATTTTTTGTATTTTTAGTAGAGACGGGTTTCACAGTATTAGCCAGGATGGTCTCGATCTCCTGACCTCATGATATACCCACCTTGGCCTCCCGAAGTGCTAGGATTATAGGCGTGAACCCCCGCACCTGGCCTTTTTTTTTTTTTTTTTTTTTTGGAACCAAGTGTCGCCCTGTCTTCCAGGCTGGAGTGCAGGGGGCGATCTCAGCTCACCACAACCTCCATCTCCTTGGTTCAAGCAATTCTCCTGCCTCAGCCTCCCTAGTAGCTGGGACTACAGGCTCGCACCACTGTATCTGGCTATTTTTTGTATTTTTAGCAGAGATGGGGTTTCACCATGTTGGCCAGGATGGTCTTGAACTCTTGACCTCAGGTGATCCACCTGCCTCAGCCTCCCAAAGTGCTGGGATTACAGGTGTGAGCCACTGTGCCCGGCCAAAACATCATTATTTTTAATAGAGATGGGGGTTCTTGCTGTGTTGCTCAGGCTGGTCTTGAACTCCTGGGCTCAAGCAATCCTCTCACCTCGCCCTCCCAAAGTGCTGGGATTACAGGCGTGAGCCACCATGCCAGCCAAGGCACAAACTAATATTAAAGCAGCACAGTGCCTCGCGTACTTCTCCATCTGGGAACTCATGCTGTGGATTCCTGGTATGTGTTTACAAATACATTTGCAAGGAACGGTTCTGTAAAAGTAAAAAGCATCAGGTAACTTAAAATACCTATAATCAGAGGAATCTAGAGTTGTCTGTCCTTCTTGTGTGTCTGGGTAGTGAGAGTGGAGGAAGTTGTTTTATACAGTTTTTTGTTTGTCTGTCTGTTTTGAGATGGGGTCTTGCTCTGTGCCCTGGCTGGAGTGCAGTGGCTCTGTCATGGCTCACTGTAGCCTTGAACTCCTGGGCTCAAGCAATCCTCCTGCTTCAGCCCCCGAGTCACTGGGGCTGTAAGTGTGCTCTATCATACCCGGCTAACTTTTCATTTTTGGTAGAGATGAGGTCTTGCTATGTTGCCCAGGCTGGTCTTGAACTCTTAGCTTTAAGCGATTCTCCCACCTTGGCCTCGTTTTGTTGCTGTTGTTGGGGTTTTTGGTTGTCGTTTTTTTTTCCTCTCCATACTCTCAGCAGAGCCACCTCAGCCTCTTAAAGTGCTGGGATTATGGGCCTGAACCACCTCATGTGGCTTCTTTAAACTGAGCATGTAGTACTTTTAGATTTTGAAATACAGTTGTTTTAAATATTCATAAAGAGATTTCAGGTTCTTTTGCTTGTGTTCCTTCCAGCTCTTAAAGCTAAGATACTTGCCTTATCTAAGAAGAGCTCCTAGGCATTTTCAAAAGTGGGTGGCAGGAAGGAGCCTGCACGCAGAGAGCTGTGCGGGATGCCCTGCACAGGGAGGCCTCCGTGCCTGCCATCGCAGTGGGGCGCCGTCTTCTGGGGAGCAAGGTCAGGGCAGCCAGGACAGTGTTCTCCCCTGGCCTTGGCACAGTACAGTTGAGTGGGCTCCAAATTAAAGTACGTATCTCGTCTGTGAGCACCAGGGAGCACCTCCCGTGGGACCTGTCCACTGGGGCTGAGGTTGAGGCACAGCTGTGTGGACATCCTGCCTCCTCTGTGTGCTCTGGTGTGGAGGGGCACAAGATAGGGGTCTCACGAGGCCCTCAGGGAGCAAGCAGGGCCCAGTGTCACTGCCTCTTGTGAGCAAGCCGCCTACCCGCCCTAAGCCCTTGGGGACAGTGCCACCGTGTTCTGGACCTTGTCAGTCTCCTGCAGCTTCTTGGAGTGGCCACCAGCAACCTTGTGGTTCTCAGGGCTCCTCAGGCCCTCAGAGGCCCCTGCAGCCCCAGGTCAGCAACCTGCAGTCAACCCAGCACAGAAGCCTCTGGCATCTTGGGGACTTCCCCAGCTTGGCCTCTGTCCATCTGGTGTACAGGAAGACCCCAGTCAGTGCAATGACAGTCTCAGTCCGGGGTCCCTCAGGAGCAGAGGGCCTGGAGGCAGGACCCCCAGCACCTGCATCGGAACCTCCTGGGAGCAGCAGGGCTGGCTGTCTTTGCAGTTGCAGTGCCTAGAAAACAGCTGGATTTCAGGCGTGAGGCCTCAGTAGAGATGAAAGTTAAAGCTGAAAGGGCATAGAGAAGATGGAGGAGTGGAGAGACCGGAACTTTGGACATCCTTGTTTAGGGACCAGGAAAGAATAATATGTGTCATCAGCAGAATGGGGCTGTACGAAGGTCACAGGCAGAGATCTGAATCTCAGGACACAGGGCCTGGAAGAGGTTCTAGGAAAGGCCAGGTACCTCTGGGAGTGGGGCCCCCAGGGGCCTCCAGAAAGTATGGGAGCCCCTGGCAGGCTATAGAGAGCTGGAGTGAAGGCTGATGGGGCCACAGTGGCATGTCCACAGAGGCCAGGGCCTGATTTGCGGGTTATGGCACCTGCTGAACCCCTGGCGTTGGGGTACATGACCCATCATCAGGCACAGAGTGAACTGGGTGAACGTGGCCCTGGTGTGTGGTGCTTTCTAGCAGCATGTGAGCCAAGGAAGCCCAGGGAAGCCTTCACTTGTGCCATGTAGCATAGCTCGTCCTTCCAAAAAATGTGAGTAGACTCCCCCGAGCCTGATACTGAAAGGAAAGAAGGCAGAAAGACTGACCCCAGCGCTGGGCAGAGCTGAGTGTGTCTGATGGACAGTGAGAGACTGGGGCAAGGAGGAAAGAAAGAGGGGTCAGGCTTCAGGAGGGCAGTGCTGCTGTGCGTGAAGCTGTGCAGCTCTTTATTTTCTTCTCTTTGCATGTCTGTAGTTTTGAAATTCAATAGAATTAACACATAATTTGCTTTCAATAATTATGAAGAAAACATGCAAGTGTTACTCTGAAAGGAGAAAACCACTGTAGGTAGAGCCGTCTGGACTCCAGGGTTAGAGGTGGAGAATGGAACTTATTATGCTCTGATCAGCAAAACAGCAGGAAAGGCAGATGGCAAAGGTGTAGCCCAGAAAGCACAGCTGCACACACTCCTCACACACACAACACCCTGCGCCAGCAGCTGCACTGGGGTTTGCATCTCGGGGCAGCCACACAGGCGCCACGTACCGGGGTTTGCATCTCGGGGCAGCCACATGGCGCCACATGCCGAGGTTGCATCTCGGGGGCAGCCACACAGGCGCCCACGTGCCGGGTTTGCATCTCAGGGCATGCATGAGCGCCCGGCGTGTAAGGTTTGCATCTTGGTATGAGGCTCAGAAGTCGATGCTTTCAGGAACCGTGGAAGTTGGGTGAAGGCGAGGCTCACACAGGAGGTTCCGCCCACATACAGCTGGGTCCACACCCATCTCTCCCCACTCTAGAGGAGTCGAGACTGCAGGCACCCTTTTTGCCGGAGTGGCTTTACATGAGTGCCATCTCGGGGCAGCCACACAGGCGCCACGTACCGGGGTTTGCATCTCAGGGCAGCCACGCAGGCGCCACGTACCGGGGTTTGCATCTTGGTACATGAAGGCTCAGAAGTGGGTAGCACCAGGAACCGTGGAAGTTGGGTGAAGGCGAGGCTCACACAGGAGGGTTCCCGCCCACATACAGCTGGGTCACACCCATCTCCACTCTAGAGGAGGAGTCGAGACTGCAGAGCACCAACACACACCGGAGTGACACCACGGAGTGCCCTTGTCCTCCTGACGAATGCCTGTGGCCAAGGGTCTGACCAGCCCCAGACAAGTCCCTGGGAGCACGCCTGTCCTGGGCACCCCGTGGCCTCCCTGGCGGTGCAGAGGCCAGCGGGTGCTCTTGGGAAGGGGTTGCATCTGCTTTGCCCCTGGTCTCAGTCATCAGTTCTGCAAAGCAAGAGCAAGTCCCCTCCTGGGTAGAGGACACCTGAAGCCCTTCCCGCCCAGCCTTGTGCTGCCCCTGGGTTTCCATCTTATACCCTCCTGGGTAGAGGACACCTGAACCCCTTCCCCCGCCAGCCCTGTGCTGCCCCTGGGTTTCCATCTTACACCAAATTCTGGGTGTGGGTGCAGGTTAGGTTGAATTAGAAGGGATGGCAGGGTAACAGGATAGTGAGGACAACTGGATTATGGAGAAGATCCAGGGTTCCTTGGAGAAATGGCCAGTTCTGAAGCTGGGACAGGAAAAGGCAGGCTGAGCCTGCAGCAGTGTGTAGCATCTGAAAATGAGGAAGTGCTTACACTAAACGCCCCCCTGCCATGAGCACAGACACAGGGTATGTCAGAGGGACACGGGCCAGCTGAAGGAGTTGCCAGACGCCAAAGCTGGAACAGTTCAAGTAACAAACTCATAGTGATAGCATTGGATTACAATCCAAAACATAAAGTTCATGAGTCTATCGTGACACAAATAAATGACTATTAATAAACAGAGAAGAGGGCCGGGTGCGGTGGCTCACACCTGTAACCGCAGAACTTTGGGAGGCTGAGGCGGGTGGATCACCTGAAGTCAGTTCAAGACCAGCCTGGCCAACATGGCGAAATCCCGTCTCTACTGAAAATACAAAAATTAGTCAGGCATGGTGGCGGGCGCCTGTAATCCCAGCTACTCAGGAGGCTGAGGCAGGAGACTCGCTTGAACCCCAGGAGGTGGAGGTTGCAGTGAGCCAAGATTGTGCCACTGCACTCCAGCCTGGTGACAGAGTGAGACTCCTCCTCAAAAAAAATTAAATAAATAAAATAAAAAATAAGGCCGGGAACGGTGGCTCACACCTGTAATCTCAGCACTTTGGGAGGCCGAGACGGGCGGATCACGAGGTCCGGAGATTAAGACCATCCTGGCTAACACAGTGAAACCCCGTCTCTAATAAAAATTTTAAAAAAATTAGCTGGGCGCAGTGGCGGGCACCTGTAGTCCCAGCTGCATGGGAGGCTGAGGCAGGAGAATGGCGTGAACCTGGGGGGCAGAGCTTGCAGTGAGCCGAGATTGCGCCACTGCACTCCAGCCTGGGCGACAGAGTGAGACTCCGTCTCAAAATAAATAAATAAATAAATACAATAAAATAATAAAAAATAAAAACCTTCAAAGATGACGGAAAAGCTCTGCCTGGAGCACTTGGGTGGGCACCTAAGGACTGGCCCTGGTCATTTGGGGGTGTCTGTGTGTCACAGAGTGGCCCAGCAGGGTTTCCCTGAGACACGGGGCACCCTGGGCCTGTAGAGCCATGCTTCCTGGAGTGAGTTTCAGCTTTGCTCTCGTGTCCCAGGCTACAGCAACTGGACGAGGAGAACAGTGAGCTCCGGTCCTGCACGCCCTGTCTGAAGGCCAACATTGAGCGCCTGGAGGAGGTGAGCTGCCTACCGCCTGGAGCTGTGGCTAGTGGGCCCAGCCCGTGCCCTGCCTGTCGGGCAGCCGAGGTAGCCCTGAGCTCTGTGCTGAGCAGGATGCCGTGCTGTGTGTGAGGGAAGAGGGCCAGCTCAGGGCCCAGGCCACTGGAAGGCACTGGACCTGAAGACACTGTTCCACCCACAGGAGCAGGGCCCAGAGGCTCACTCCTAGATGGACCCAGGGCTCTGAATCTGGGAATTGTCCTCCAAGGGGAAGGCATCAGCCAGCCACTCACGCCCTGACCCCTGCATACGTGGAGGCAGAGGCTGCATGTGGGGTTCCCGCACCCCAGCTCATCACTGTGAGACCTCCCTCCCCCCACCTCACCAGCTGTGCTCTGGGAAGCTCCCAGGAAGGATATTCTCAGAGCACTTGGACCCTGGCTCCCGTGAACCAGAGGAGCCCGGCTGGAGCTGCCCACAGCCACTGAGTCAGGTCCTGTCCACACAAAGGTCCTTCCTGCCCCTCACGAGAAATGGCCCTCATGGCCTGTGTGTGTGAGGCGCCCAGAGGCAGGTGGCCTTGACCTCCACTGAGAGGCAGGAAGGCTCAGACCCAGCCCTGTCGCGCTCCAACGTGGGGGCTACCATGCTGCTGTTTGGGAGACTCAGAGATTGGAGGGACAGACGACCGGGGCAAGCTGCATGCACAGGTGGGAGGGCAACGCACATCCAGGGCAGCTGTCCACCCCTGCAGGAGAAGCAGAAGCTGTTGGATGAGATAGAGTCACTGACGCTGCGGCTCAGTGAAGAGCAGGAGAACAAGAGGAGGATGGGGGACAGGCTGAGTCACGAGAGGCACCAGTTCCAGAGGGACAAGGAGGCCACACAGGAGGTGAGCTGGCACCCACCCTGCCCCATGCCAGTCCTGCCCCCAGCCTGCCCCAGGGGAAGCCTTTGTTTCCTAAGACGCTAGCTTTTAGCTGTGCGCTTTGGACATAGCCGCTGGTGTGTGTCGTCTTCCCGAGAGACAGCCAGATCAACCCTGAGGTTCTACAGCCAAGTGATGGCTGATGGTGTCCCCTGGGAGCCCAGGCTCCCCGGCTCACCTGGCGGTTGCCCTGCAGCTGATCGAGGACCTCCGAAAGCAGCTGGAGCACCTGCAGCTCCTGAAGCTGGAGGCTGAGCAGCGGCGGGGCCGCAGCAGCAGCATGGGCCTGCAGGAGTACCACAGTCGCGCCCGGGAGAGCGAGCTGGAGCAGGAGGTCCGCAGGCTGAAGCAGGTGGGCAGGCCTGGGCCTCCCTCCCTCACATTCCTGCAGAATGTTCCACAAGGCTGGTTGGGAAGGTGGGGACATGGAGGGTTAGCATCTGAGCTGGAGACCTTTTTCCCTGGGCAGTCCTTGTCCCTGCTCAGCCATCAGCAGGGGCCACAGCCCAGTAGTGATGTTGCTGTGCCCTCCCAGGACAACCGCAACCTTAAGGAGCAGAACGAGGAGCTGAATGGGCAGATCATTACCCTCAGCATCCAGGGTGCGAAGAGCCTCTTCTCCACAGCCTTTTCTGAGTCCCTGGCTGCAGAGATCAGCTCTGTCTCCCGAGATGAGGTAACACATCCCATGCCTGCACAGTGTGGCCTGGGGTTTACAGCCCACAGTGTCTGTGTGCTGTGGTTTATGCACTGTGGCCTGTGGCCCGTGCGCCTCAGCTCTGACTGCCTGCTCGCCCTACAGCTCATGGAGGCAATTCAGAAGCAGGAGGAGATCAACTTCCGCCTGCAGGACTACATCGACAGGATCATCGTGGCCATCATGGAGACCAACCCGTCCATCCTGGAGGTCAAGTAGAGGCAGGAAGGCCCAGCCTGGGCTGGATTCGGGACTCCAACACCCTGGAGTGGTCCCGTCACACCGTGAGGAGCCAAGACCAGCAGGTCCCACAGCCGACAGGGCCCAGAGCATGCAGGGAGTCCTCATGCAGCTGGGCTGGGGCCGCCAAAGACAGGGGCTGCCAAAGGGGCAGAGGGTGGTGGAGAGGAGAGGGAGAAAGGGAAGTCCCAGGGCCCGGGGTCCACAGAGGGTGAGGGTTGTGGCAGGGCCATCCATCAGCGCTGACCTTTCGGGGGGCCCAGAGCTTTCCAGCCCTAAGTCACCCTGGCCGTGAACACCTATACTTCAGTTCGGCAGGATGGGCTGGAGAGCCTCTCTGTGCAGAGGTGTGGGGTGAGCCCCGTTGTGGCCTCCTTGTGGTGGTCCCTCTTTCCACATGCAGCCCTATTGGGAAGAAAGGAAGAAAACGGGTCCTTCCAGGGGTGCTGTTGCCTAAGCCACCCGCACAAGTACCCTGGTGCCGTTTCACCCATGCTGAGCCGCTCCTGATGGCTGACGGGCTCCCGGACCCTCACCTCAGACATGGTGGTGCAGGAAGGACGGGTGGGCAAGGCTGGTGCGTTTCCCCAGCTCTACCTACGCTGCTTGGGCCATTGCCCAGTCAGATGTGGTCACCTCAGTCCAGCTCTGGGGCCTCCAGGCCATGTGGCTGTTCCCATGGCCCATTCCTCGCTGCAGTAACCCCTGGGGGCTCTGACCACCTATGGGGGTCGGGCAGGAGCCACTGGGGCCCTCCACTCCGACATCAGGACCTGAGATTACAGCTGTGTGGCGCTCTCTCCCTGGGTGGGGTGGATGCTGCAGGCCCCTCTGGCTCCCAGGTGCTGCTTCTCCACAGGTGCGGCCTGACCTGGCCTCCTAAAGGCCACACCCTCCCCACGCACTTCCCAGGCCAGAGTCCAAACATCGGGAACCCTGTTTTCTTGTTTGTGTCTCACTTAGAAATCGTGGTTCTTCCCCGAGGGTGCGTGTTGTAGGAGGGAGAGGGCAGGGAAGACTCACAGCAGAGCGGGAGGGGCTGCGCTTCTCGGGTCCACACCCCAGGCGCAGCGGTGTCACCCCGCAGGGCTGTGGGCCCGCCCCCGACCCCCAGCATTCCCGGGTGGGCCCAGACCCCATCACCAAGACTGGCCACCTGCTGCGTTGAGTGCGCGCATGTGTGCGTGCGTGCGTGCACCTGTGTGGCCCCGCATCCACCGCCTTCCATGCTAGGATGTAAGAGGTCGCCTCCTATTGTACATTTGGGGAAAGCCTTGGGTGTAAATCAGTGTAAACTTGGAGGAGAAATTTTTCTATCATGTAGAGTAGGTATTTTTTATAGATTGAAGGTTGATCAATTTTTTAATACTTTCAAGAGAGAAAACTATCTGTGTATACACATGATATATATATATATATATATGTATAATATATAAAGACTGGCACCCTGCCTCTCTGTGCCCAGGCCCAGCCCTGGTGACACGGCACCACTCAGCAGTGCCGTCGCTATAAGCATGGACTCCCAGGAGACAGTGTGGGAAACGCTCCTGCTTTAATTCCTCAAGAAACGGCTCTTCCTGCCTGGATGCAGGAGGGCAGGGGCCACCACAGATTAAAGCTGTTACTGCACACGCAGAGGCTGGCTCCTTCCTCCAGGGGGGCCACAGGGTGGGGTGGGAGTCTTGTGGGCCGGGCCCAGCTTCCCTCAAGGCATCCGGGGCCATCAGTTGTCTGAGCTCAGAACCCAGGAGACCTGCCTGGCTCTGCAGCTTGGTCAGACCAAGATCCTTCCAAGGCTGCAGGATTGCACCTCCAGGTCCAGCAGAGCCTGGCAGCTTTCTGGCGAGGTTCTGGATCCTCACGAGTTGCTGAGACAGCGTCAAGGTGGGGCCGGGGAAAGGGGGCAGCACAGGGCTGTGTGGGCATCACAGCTCTGGGTCAGTATCCGCGCCTCTGGGGATGTACGTCCCATGTCAGGAGAGCTGTCAGCATGTCCCCAGGATGAAGCATGTCCCCAGGATGAAGAGAAGAAGGGGGGGGCAGGGCACAGAGGCTCACGCTATAATCTCAGCACTTTGGGAGGCCAAGGCAGGAGGATCGCTTGAACTCGGGAGTTTAAGACCAGCTTGGGCAACATAGCAAGGCCCCATCTCTAAAAAATAAATTAGCCAGGCTTGGTGGTGCATACTTGTAGTCCCAGTTCCTTGGGAGGCTGAGGTGGGAGAACTGCTTGAGCCCAGGAGATGGAGGTCACAGTGAGCTATGATCACACCGCTACACTCCAGCCTGGGCGACAGAGCAAGACCCCATTTCAAAAAGAATTTAAAAGGGCAGTGATGTGCAGGGTGGTGGGAGAACATCCCCCAGAAGAGGGGGCAGACACAGGACCAGCACCAGAGGCATAGGAAGGCGAGAAGGCAGGGCCCGATGGGAGTGGGCTCCTGAGGTCACAGGGGCAGCCAGGCAGTCTGAGAGCTTAGTGCCACTGCAGCCACAAGGAATGGCCTGTGGGGAGTGGTCCCATCTGATCAAGAGTCCCCCTAAAACACAAGCCTTGAAAACTAGACCACTTGGTCTGGCATCCGGGAAGCAGACTGCATCTGCATCTCTCCCTCTCCTGTCCCCGCCCGAGATGCCCGCCTGCCCATCACTCTCAGATGCAGATGGAGAAACCAAGGCCCAGGGAGGCTGAGGACCCAGGTCTGTCATCCCCTCAGCCCAGCTGCTGCCTGTGGGCTGGTGACCGGAAGAGGACCAGGCGTGGCCTACAGTGAGGAGTGCGTGAACCCTCAGTGCAGGTGCAGCAGAGTGATTCCAGGTCACAGAGCCCGGAACCCTGGTTGCTTCATGAGTTAGAACTGAGGAGTGACATGGGTGGTGTGGGCATGTCCAAGGCCAAGTTCCTGCTCCCAGGAAAAGGGCCTGCTCTCTCACCTGCGTAGGGGTCTCTGTGTGGTGCCAGCAGGGCCCATTCCTGCTTAGAGGGAGAGGCTGGAGGTGGGGAGAGGGACTCATTACATGCTTCCAGGCCAGAGCCAGGGAGGGGAAGGGGAGCAGCTTCCATCTTATACCCCACTGTGGTCTAGGAGCACCTCAGTTTCATTTCCATGCTATATTTTAAATGTGGAGCCTGTACACAGTCCAGCTGGCCCCACCTCGATGACCCATTGGGGTCTCTAGCCCAAAGGAGTTTGAGACAGGAGGACACAGGATGAAATGGAAACATTCCCGTAAGGGCTGCCAGAGACCTTGTCAGTGAGCGAGAGCAGGGTGGGGTGGCCAGTGTGCATGCCTGGTGGACGTGCCCAGAAGCCCGCACCCCCCCGGGAGGCCTGAACGTGTCCCTCTGGAGTGTCGTCCCCCCCCCCACCCTCAACTGTGCAGGCAGATCCTGTCCCCAGCTGGCTCCTGACATTGAATGTTCTGAGTCTTGGTCAGTTCTGCCCAACGGAAGAGCACTAAGGAGTCTTGCCTGGCAGAATGGAGTGGAGCGGCTCTGCCCCTGCCCTGGAACAAGAGCCCCTCACATGAGGACCGCCCCAGCCTGCCTCTGCTAAAGGGCAGGTATAGGAAGGTTGGACCCCCTCAGCAGGCCCCCCGGACGGCATCCTGGCCCCTCTACCTGCTGGCAGTCCAGGAGCTGGGAGGCAGTGGTCCAGAGAAGGGCATGGACTTCTCCCGGGGCCTCGTCCATTGTTTTCACCTGTTGGGCCACCCGTTGTTTTTTTGAGACGGGCTCGCTCTGTTACCCAGGCTGGAGTGCCATGTGCCATCCCAGCTCACTGCAACCTCAACCTCCCAGACTCAAGCGATGCTCCTGCCTCTGCCTCCCGAGTAGCAGGAACCACAAGCATGCACCACCACACCTGCCTAATTATCTTTTAAGTGGAGACGGGTCTCACTATCTGTGTTGCCCAGGCCTGTGTGGCTCACAAAGCAGGTGATAGCAGGGTCATCCCGTCAAATCTGAGCATGGCACCAGAGCACACAAGTCGGCCACCTGCAGGCCTTGGCACCCTCGTGCTACGCCAAGGTCCCTGTGTGCTCAAGTCTGGGCTCCATGATGGCACTGGGGTCTGTTCTATTTGCTGCTATGTCCAAGTGGGACTTTCTCTGGGTGCCTAAACAGATGCCTCCAGTCTCAGTTCTTTCTGTTTGCCCCCCCCCCCCCCCATCGTCTTCTCCTCAAGGGGGGATTCATGGCTCACCTCTTGGCTCTTCTGCGCACGTGCATTAACTGCTCAGGTCTGTCTGGATGTGAGGGTTGTGTCCTCAGGCCAGGACTGCACTGGCATGGAGCAGGGCTCGGTCAATGGTCTGGATAATCCAGAGTCACTTACCTTCTGCTGTGCAGGCAT